CGCTGCCGGTCCTGCTGCTGCTGCTGCTGCTGCTGCGAAGCGAGCCTCCGCTCCGAGCCTCCTGCAGCTGCTGCTGCTGCTGCCGCCGCCCGGAGTTTTTCAGACGGGCGAGACGTCAGCAAGAGGAGGCGGCGGCCAAGCAGCGGGAGGAGGAGGAGGAGGCGGCGAAGGAGGCGGAGAGGAGAGGAGCGAAGACGAGACGGAGGGAGGCGGCGGCGGCGGCGGCGGCCTGGCACTGTGGCCGGCAGCCCGGCGGAGAGCAATTCCCCCCCGCCACACACGCACACACGCACACACGCTCTCTCTTTCTCTCCCCTTCTGGCCGGCCCTTCTCCAGGCGACGCGAGGCGAGAGGGCTTGGCAGGCCCCGAGGGAGGCGGGGAGGGAGGCACGGAGGGGCCCGGCCGGGGACTTGCGCCCCAAAGGGCGCCGAGGAGGACCCGCAGGCGGCAGCTCTTAGGAGAGCGGCTCTTCAGGCAGCGCCACGAGCTGCGGCCGCCGGTGGTTCGGGAAGGCTTCGGGGAGGCGGGGGGGGGGGGGTCGCCCCCCGGCTCGCCGTTACCGTGGACCCAAAATACTGTAGCCTTAGTAAACAGAGATTATTTGCTGTAATCTATTCAATTATTATGTTTTAGTATTTTAGTTAACTTTTTAAATATTAACTGCCTTGGATCCCACAAGGGAGATGGCAGGATATAAATAAATACACATGGATGCAATTGTAGCGTAAACATATTTTCCTAGGAATTAAGTCCTGTCGGATTTAATTTTCCAGTGAAAACAGGCAAGTTTGGGCTTTCTGCCCACCGCGGGCCGAGGACGCCCCTCTTTTCAAAGGCCCCGAAGCCGCTCAGGGGTATGACCGGAATCCAAAGGGCGCGTTGAGGCTCGGCCTTTGGAAGGGGCGCGCCCGCCCAGGCAGGCAACCGGCGCATCCTTCGTAAAAAGCACTCTCCCGCCCAGACTCACGCAAATGCCTTTCGGCGAGCGCACATCGCCAGTAGGATTCGGGGCACCGTGCAAGAGTTTGTGTGCGTGTGTCTGGGCGAGGGAGGAAGGCGAAGTGTTTCCCTGACCGTTTGCCAGTCTTAAGTGCAGTCACATTTATCAGCCGCACATCACGTCCATAGCCAGCTACAGGTTTAGCGTGACATTTAATGAGTGATGAGTTATTTGCTGTGCTGGAAGTGGGGAGAGAGGACTGAGGAATATCCCCCCTCCCGCATGGGAGGCTAGGCATTGTAACCTACCTGGAGTTGTTTGAAGAGTTCCTCGTTCTTAGCCTATGGTTTGTGGACCTCCATGTTCTCCACCAAGGCTTGAAGAAATGTTACAATCTTTTCCAGTTAAAATAGAAAAAATGAAAGAAAAGAAGAAAGCAAGCAAGAAAAGGAAACGTAGAACAAAATCTAATTTCCCCTTGCTTATTTGTGTAAAACTTGGCTTTGCTAACCTATCCACTCAATTAAAAGCAAATTAAAATAATATTTCTACATATAGTAATAACATGGAAGTGAATGACCCGGAGTGGCTGAGAGACAACCTGTAACATTTCTTGCTACTGTGCAGTCAGAAGCTACAGTAAGAGAGTCAGAATCAGTGTTAGTGTGAGTGAATGTTTGATTGGACTTCATGATCATGTTTCTTCTTTGATTTCTGCTAATAAAACTTAAAGAAACAAAAAAGACACAATTTTATACAGAAGACCTCAAAATTATAATATTGATCCCTGCACCAGGACCATTGGAGATAAAACCAATTCTCTCTGAGCTAAAAGAGGACCATTGGAGATAAAACAAATTCTCTCTCCTTGAAAGATTCCCATTGCCCCTCCAAAAATATTTCTTATGATGGTGCACTTCCCTTTTCCTCTATTAAGACATGATCAATAAAATCTCTCCAAATACCTGCAAAACTATGCCTTTTTAACAATTGTTTACTTTGATATTGCACATTAACTAGTCATTAATAGCTATGTTCCATACTTCTTTATACCATTCATTTAATTGGAAATTGTGTTTTATTTTCCAGTACTTAGGTACAGTGTTATTAATCTACCTGCTGTTAATAAGTTACAGATTAGTTCTCTAGTTACAACAATAATTTTGTTTGAGCCTCAGAACAGATTGCTGACTGAATCTGAAACATAAAAAGAAATTATGTTGTTGATGGGTGCATCCTATTCAGAGCAGAATGAAGCTTTTTCCAGTCATTTTTAAAAGTGACATCATTATAGCAAGGAAGATCTGTTGATTGGCTTCATGCATACAAGTCCCAAAGACAAGCAACTACTGTGTTTCCCTGAAAATAAGGCAGAGTCTTATATTAATTTTTGCTCCAAAAATGCATGAGGGCTTCTTTTCAGGGGATTTTTTTGCATGTACAATAATAAACATTTATTCAAATACAGGCATGTCATCTTCTTCTGGTTGCTGCACAATGGTGGAGGGCAGGGTTTCACTTAACTGGGGCTCATTTTCAGGTTAGGTCTTATTTTCGGGGAAACATGGTACCACAGTGAGTGTTATGAGATATTGTCCAATGAGACCATGAAACAGTCAACATTGCAAAAACAAAGAACATGTTACAAAGAGTATTAATTTTTTCAAAAGTCAGGAGCATGAGCTTCAGGAAAGTAAGAAAATGGTTTTAAAAAGACTACAGCTGACTACAACAATGAAAATGCAGTGAGGACATCATTTGAAGTTCCTCAACTAAAGAAAAAACCAGAAGACCACACACAATAGCTGAAGTTATATTACCTGCTGCAAAAATCACGGTTTCTGCATTGATCAACAAAAAAAGCAGCCAAGGACCTTTCCTTTCTCAAATGACACATTTAAGAAGTGAATCAATGGTTTGTCAGCCAGTGTTGTTGTTGTTCTTTAGTCCTTTAGTCGTGTCCGACTCTTCGTGACCCCATGGACCAGAGCACGTCAGGCCCGCCTAGCTTCCACTGCCTCCCGAAGTTCTGTCAAATTCATGTTGGTAGCTTCGATGACACTGTCTATCCATCTCATCCTCTGTCGTCCCCTTCTCCTCCTGCCTTCACACTTTCCCAGCATCAGGGTCATTTCCAGGGAGTCTTCTCTTCTCATGAGATGGCCAAAGTATTGGAACCTCAGCTTCAGGATCTGTCCTTCCAGTGAGCACTCAGGGTTGATTTCCTTCAGAATGGATAGGTTTGTTCTCCTTGCAGTCCAGGGGACTCTCAAGAGTCTCCTCCAGTACCACAATTCAAAAGCATCAAATCTTCAGCGGTCTGCTTTCTTTATGGTCCAGCTCTCACTTCCGTACATCACTACAGGAAAAACCATAGCTTTGACTATGCGGACCTTTGTCGGCAAGGTGATGTCTCTGCTTTTAAAGATGCTGTCGAGGTTTGTCATCGCTTTCCTCCCAAGAAGCAGGCGTCTTTTAATTTAATTTCGTGGCTGCTGTCACCATCTGCAGTGATCATGGAGCCCAAGTACTGATACTGTCAGCCAGTATCAAGGAACAATTATTATAAAGAAATTGTATGTCCGCCTGTTTTCCACTACAATTGGACGAAAGCACAGACATAACAAACAAAGCGACCTTACTGTACTAACCTGTTTTGCACTACAATTGGATGAAAGCACAGACATAACAAAGCGACCTTACTGTACTATGTTAAATATGAGCATGAGATAAATGTTTTCGAAGACATATTGTTCATCTCCTCATTGGTACACACTACAGCTGCAGAAGTATTTTACAGCTTAAACAAGTTATAATATTGCAGAACATGGATTGGTTGACATGCATTGGAATTGCAGTGTCTGGAAAGCTTACTGGACTTGTAGCATGGATTAAGGAAATCATACCATCAGTAGCTTGTACCATTGCTGCATACATAGGGAAGCTCTGGTTGCTAAGAAGGTACCAGAAAAACTAAAGCAAATGAATTTGACTGACTAAATGAGTCAGTCAAAATTGTCAATTTTTGAACAGCTTTGCAAAGATCTAGACAGTAAACACCACTAACTTTTGCTACACTGTGAAGCTTGTTGGCTACTACAAAGTAAAGTTTTTTCTCGTTTTTTGGGAATTGAGAAGCGAGATAAGATTATTCCTCATGGAAAAGCAATTTCACCTCAGTGATCGTCTGGCAGATTTTTCCTGGTTAGTCAAATTAGCATATCTGTCAGACGATCATTGAGGTGCTTTAAATATGCTCAACTTAACTTTCTCTTGAAGGAGAAAAGGTTATAATATTTCAAGCTGAAGACAAAATTGTAGTAATGATCAAAAAGTTGGAATTGTGGCATCATCGCCCATTGACTACCAAAACTATGAGACATTTTGAAATGTCACAGTTGTTCTTGGTTCCACTGCCAAGGAGTTGTCTGAGGAGGACACATAACTTATTGCATGACATTTTGAAGATTTGCAGCATAGTTTCCATGAATATTTTCCTAT